AAGTTAAAAAAAAAACAACTCTCCCTGTTCAAAAAACACCCCCTGTTCCCACTACCCCAACTCCCTGCCTTTCCTTCCATAATCATGATCTCAGGGCAGGAAGGATATGAAAATGGGGCTTCCTTCTTACAAAAGAGTTAGAGACACTTGCTCTAAATTAATCAAGACCTTGCTAAACCACCCTGCTCAGTAGGTGACTAGCATAGCATAGGATTATTGACCCAAGCCAAGAAATTACATAAGGGACATTGATCTTGCTCAATAATAACTGCAGTAGTAATCAGGTAGAGATTTTTAACCTTCTAATGACTCAGTTTCCTTGTCTGCCAGACAGCTTATCTGTCAAGCAATTTGTCTGAGTTCAGATTGGAACAAAGCCCTTCATAATTCTACTGGTAGACTATAGAGCTTGAATTGTCCAAACAATCATTTATGGGAGAGGAGGAAGAAAGATTAGTTAGCTCTCCAAAAGTAGTTCAGGCTATACTGGTAATTTCTACATTTTCCCCAGGATTTTTGCAAGTTTGCATTTGTGAAACTCTTGCCCTGAGGCTGGTTTCTGATCCAACTATTTAAACCAGTTTACAAATCTGTTTAACATGAATGGCATCCTGGCTGGAGGGTTGCCTTCCAAAGAAATCTGTCTGTTAGATGTTCACCTTACCCAATCCAGTTAAAACTGGCCAAAACCATCCAAACCAGTTCCAAACTGCCAAAACTGGTTACAACCAGCTAAAATCAGTTCAGACCAGTTCCAAATCCTATTAAATTTAAAGACTTTTGTACAAATAAAACCAGTGAAACCAAGATTAGAAGGAAAGCAGAAAGCTGGGAAACAATCTTTGCAGCAAACGTCTCTGATAAAGGCCTCATTTCTCAAAATATAGAGAACAGAGTCAAATCTATGAGAATTCAAGCCTTTCCCCAATTGATAAATGGTCAAAGGACAGGAACAGGAAGTTTTCATATGAAGAAATGAAAGCTCTCTATAGGCATATGAAGAGTGCTCTAAATTACTTTTGATTAGAGAAATGCAAATTAAAACAACTCTGAAATATCACCTCACACCGATCATATTGGCTAATATGAAAAACAAAAGGAAAATGATAAATGTTGGAGAGGATAAGGGAGAATTGGATCAGTAATGCATTGTTGTTGGAGTTGAAAACTGATTGAGCCATTCTAGAAAGCAATTTGGAACTATGCCCAAAGGGCAACCAAACTGCATATTTTTTGATCTAGTAATACCATTACTAGGTCTGTATACCAAACAGATCATAAAAAAGGGAAAAGGACCTACATGTGCAAAAATATTTATAGCAGCTCTTTTTGTGGTGGCAACATCATGGGATAATCAACTATGAATGACTCAGCTTTTCTCAGCAACAAGTACAAAGGACTCAGGAAGGAAAATGGTATCCACATCCAGATAAAGAACTGATGGACTCTGAATGCAGATTGAAGCATATTTTTTTTCACTGTCATTATTTTTTCTCATGTTTCTTTTCCTTTTGATCTGTTTCTTCTTCCACAACAGTGATGAATATGGAAATGTTTTACATGGTAGCATATCTATAAACTATATCAAACTGCCTAGCATTTTTCAGAAGAGGGGAGGGGAGGGAAGTAGGGAGGTAGAAAAATTTGGAGCTCAAAATCTTGCAAAAATGAATGCTAAAAAATTTCTTGATATGTAATTGTGGGGAAAATAAAATATTATTTAAACAAAAAATTTCTGTTGGAGAAATTTGTAATGTTCCTATAGATAGATATTCCTCATTTCACTCTTTCTTTAAAATTTTTTTCTTTCTTTTTTCCCCTCATTTCACTCTTGAGAGTAACATCTCTTTGATAGACCAAAATGAAATTTTGACTTCACCTCAAAATGTCAGAATCATGGAATCTTTTTGTGATTGATAAATGAAAACTCTTTTAGAAAAGAAATTATGGAATGTACTTTGTGGAAGCCTCTTAACAGAAAATGAAGATTTGACTCCATTAAATCTAAACTCCATTTGTTTTAGTGAAGATGTTTATATTATCCGGAAAGTTAGCAATTAGATACAGTCAACTGTCTACTACTCTCATATTCCAATGTATCTGTGATCTCATTTAAGTGAGTACTACCTCCAATAATACACAGGAAGAGGTGTGGGCCTGACCATCCTCTATCAATCATATATGTATTTGATAAGTTATGTTTCTATGAAAAATGAAGAAAGCATAGAATAATTATCAGCAAAAAGCCTTTATAAAATCAGAGAAAATTAAAGAATTTTGCCAAATATCAGTTTAGAATTTTAAAGATTACTTGAAAGATCCTCCTTACAGAAAAAAAGAAAGCTAACTTTTATTGCAATATAAGAGCTACTTAAGTGATTCTCATCAGGCTTAATGGAATTTTATAGCGAAATTCCCATACAGTACATTAAAATTTTAGTCCTACAAAGAACTTTGGTCATTATTTTTTTCTCATGCAATTTTCTATGTTCTTAAATTATGTAATACTTCCTTATTGATAACTGAGGCTTTCTGGCTCCTGCTATATAAAGAATAGTCACTTTATACCGTGCTTTATTTGTTTAGAAAAAATGATGGCATTGGGAAAACCATTAAATGATCCACAGCATAACTTTAAGAAGGCTTTAAAAATCAAGTGAAGTGCTAATTATTAAGATAATTTTTTTGGGTGCAAGTATGATTTGAGTAGCAGTCAAATTAATCATTCTATCTTGCTGACTCAAATACGAAATAAATTTTTGTGAAATTAACTTTAAACTATTTCATGCAAGTTCAATAGCATTTTTTATTGGCATGTCATTGTTCTATTGGTATTACATTTTGATGATATGTCACCAGAATATACTTAGACCACTATGTATGTTGATGAAAGAAATGATGTTCTCAAGAAATAATATCTTGGATTTTTCTTCACTGCCTTGTTTAAACTATAAGAATAATGCAGTAGTATATGCATGTTAAGTTGGAGATGCATATCTCAGGCACAGATTTTTAAATGGGAGGTTTTCCAGCTCTTTCTCACAGTATGAAAATTTCCAAGGGTTCACAAATCTTGGAAAGTATTTAATTTATAAAGACCGATGAATATGTATCAGACCAATTCATTAAAAACTCTGAAATTAAATCTTTGAAAACACTGAGAGATGCCAAATAATAATTTATGATATGAGTTACTTTTCCCATTCTTTGTTGGGGGAAATGCATGAGTATAACCTTAGAGTGTACAATCACCTATTCACTAGTAATTTCATTTTAATGTGAAATATTTGATAGCCTTCTTTATAACACACTAAAAAGGCAGTAGTTTTTCCCTGTAATCTTCACTTGGGAAAAAAAATGCTGTCAGACAGTTTTTAATCCTCTAATTGTTATTGGAAAGGTTCTTGTATACATGCCTCTCTGAATATTTTATTACAATGGTTTCTTTCAATAAAATATTTATGCCTAACATTCACATGCAAAAAAAACCCCTGAAAATTTGTGTTATGATATCATAACATAATGCTAAGGTAGTCATCTAACATTTGATAGTGATTTTGTAGATTTACATTAGCTGGTCTCTAATTTTTTATAATAGTTCACATTTACAAAGTGTTTTAAGGTTTGCCAAGCTCTTTACAAAGGGGCAAATATTATTTTCATTTTACAGATGAGGAAACAGACTGAGAAAGGTTGTGACTTTCCCAGGATCACATAGAGAGGGTCTTTCTTTGGGTCTGCATTCTATCCACTCTACCACCCAGCTGCTTTGAAGAATTAGCTTGTTAAAAGAATTTTCTTTATTTAGTACTTAAAAAAGAGAATAAAGTAAAACTCACTGAAATTAAAACTGCAAAATTCTATAAAAGAATTATTGGATTAAGAGGTATTTTAGAAGTTATTTAATTCACTTTATATTTGAAGTACGAATCGCCTTTACAAAGGCATCTATCTGAATCAAGTGGCCATCTGGCCACTGTTTGAGGGTAGCCTATTCTATTTTGGGGTAACACTAAATGTTCTTTATAATATCGAAGTGAAATCTGTAACCTTGTACTTTCTATGCACTAGTGTCTGTTTTGTTCTCTGGAGCCAAATGGAATATGTCTGGTCTCAGTCTTCTTCTTTCAAATTGCTTTTCGGAGATTATAACTCACCTCACAACCTTGGTAACCTTTTGACAGCCTCTTAAGCAGTTCTTACCCACCTTATCACCTCAACCAACTTTCCTTGCCTTATTTTTCACCAAACAATACAGTGGCACTCTTTTTAAAAAATTACTATTTGGGGAAGCTAGGTGGTGCAGTGGATAGAGCACCAGCCCTGGAGTCAGGAGGACCTGAGTTCAAATGTGACCTCAGACATATGACACTCACTAGCTGTGTGACTCTGGGCAAATCATTTAACCCCAATTGCCTTGTCGCCTGCAACTAAGTGAGGCACCTCATGGGAGAGTAAGAAATGAAGAGATGTGGGCCAGGCGGGTCAATGAAGACTGAGCCATTTATCAATCTGAGGGTACAGTTTAAAGAGTAAAAGCTAACAATTTCCCCTGAGGCGTTCCCATGAGTTTTATGTGACTAACCCCAGCCCTAATGTGCTACTTTATACACCCCTGCTTGTTATCAAGGTTCAAGGATCAGTCAGAGTGTTCTAACACCCCCTGGGCATGGGAGATTGGAGAGCCAAACATTCTGTGTAAGTGAGCCCTTAAGGGTAGGAAAAGGGAGTCAAGCCCTGACCTAAATTCCTTATCCCATATTGGACTCCTCAGCTCTGGCCCTCAACATTGCCTCACCAAAACAAAAACAAAAACAAAAGCAAATTACTATTGCTAACTCCTTTCTCTTGACATTCCTCTCTACCCCACAACTAACATTAAAAACTGAAAGAGGAGGGAAAAAAGAAAACCCTCTTAACAAATTACAGATAATCAAGCAAAATAAATCTCTACATTGGTCATGTCTGAATGTGTACATCTCTGCACCTTGGTCCCTTACCTCTCTGTCCAAGAGGTGAGTGATATGCTTCATCATATGTACTCTGGTGACATGGTTGATCATTGCATTGATCAAAGTTCTTAAGCCTTTCAAGGTTATTTTTCTTTGCAATGTTTCTCTTGTATAAAATGCACTTGTGGTTCTGCTCACTTCTCTCTGCATCAGTTCATAATACTCATGATTCTATGAAAGCATCTCATTATCTTATGGAGCAATAATGTTCCAGTATGTTCACAATTTGGTCAGCCATTTTCCTATTGCCAAAAGACAATCAACAGCACTGTCTTATATTCCAGTTCTTTGCTTTCTTCCCTCTTTTTTCTATTACTTTTTTTTGTTTTAAATAAGTTTTTAATTATTTATTTTTTAACATCACTATAATTTTTCCCTGTATCCCTCCCCCTCCTTTTGCCCTTCCCAGGTAGCCCATATCCTATAACAATTAGTATTTTTTTAAAAGGCAAAAAAGGGGGAGGGGAGAGCATAACTGATCAATACATTTAGAAAGTCTGAAAATATTTGCAGGGTATGTTTGTGGAACTACCACCTCTGCAAAGGGTTGGGATGGAGGTATCTTTTTTTTCTTTCAAACCATGTGAATTGCTAATTAATTTCTGAAATTATTAAATGGAGTGGGCACACCTGGTTCTTTGGGTTCTTGCTGGGAAAGACCACAATGGCATCAGGGAGTAATGTTTCAATATCACTTTAATAAGGCACAGAGGGCACAGGGAAAATATCAAAGAAAGTTTAGAGAAAAATGGTACAAGGTGGGTATAAGGCATATGGCATGAAGATGGGGAAGGGGCAATGGGGGAAGGCAGGCAGCATGGGGAAGTATGAGGATGGAGAGAGGCACAGAGTCACCCACATAACCATGGACTAGAGTTAGGAGCACTCAAACAGCATGGACCCTTAGGAGATGGAAGAGTGCCAGGTCAGGCCAGGAGTTTTTACAGGATTTTAGTTAGGGACAGACTAAGTCTAATTTGTGCCATTTTGGCATTAGTTCATTAACATATCCACATCATCTCAAAGTCACTAGCAACATTTGGTGTTCTGCTCGTCTTACTGTGGATGTTTGGAGCTTATTTGAGGTTTACAGCTCATAGACCAAAAAATCCTGACAGCAAGGCCTACTTGTCTTCCCTTAACTTAGCATATAGTTTCAGGATGTGAATATATGATAGTTTGCAAATTATGCTCCTTTGATCTATGGGAGAGTCTGTTAGTGATTTTGAGCCTTCCCATTGCAGTCTTCTTGTGAATATGACTTTATACTGGCTACTAATAAATTTACTGTATAACTAGACGGTTAGTGGCGGTAGAGGTGATTAGGAGGACCAGAACAGATAAAATTTTAATATACCACACTTGTTCTTTATAATTTTGCAGCATTCACCTCTTTTCATGGTTGTTCTTTCTGCCTACATTGTTGTAGTTATTATGTATATTGTTTTCTTGGCTTTGTTTACTTTATTCTACATCAGTTCATGTACATCTTTCTGTGCTTCTTTATTTTCTTCACATTCATACACACACACACACACACACACACATTACAGCACAGTAATATTCCATTTACTCTTTATCCCCTCCCCTTAACCTCTCTTCTGAATCAGGAAATTTGTTTAGTTGGTTTCTATTCCCTGCCTGGAATTATCATCCCTTTTACCAGCCCCCATCCTTGCCTTTTCACTTGTTCAATTTGATGTATTCCCATACCAAAATGGTGTGTGTTCAACCTTTCTTTGTCCATTTCACAGGAGGTCCGTCTGACGCTCACTTTCCCCATCCTTTCCTCCATGTCCATATTCTCATCCATCCCAATTATGAGAAAAAAGCAAGCTCAACTCTCTTACTTTTTTGTACTAGTATCTTCCTCTTTTCATCCTCTTCTCCCTCCTCTTAAAATATTCAGAACAGAAACAATCCAACTTCTAGGATATATTTTTCTTATTTAATTTCCTCTAAACCTTTTGAAGACTTTAAGATTCTGAAAGGATATGTATTCCTTCTCCCCACTATAATGTTAGCACTACATCATCTTATAGTTCCTTTCAAATGCTCCAATAAATTTAACTTTCTAGGCTTTTTCTGGATTCTTGTGATTTCAGTTCAAAGCTCTTATTTAGGTCTGCTCTTTTCATTGGAAATGCTTGAAAGTTCTCTATTTTATTAAAAATTCTATATTCAATTTTCTTCCTTCCACCCCTGTAGGATTATACTCAGATTTGCATGGTAAGTTATTCTTGGTTATAAACTTCACCTGTTTTGTTTTGTTTTGTTTTTGTTTTTTTGCCTTTTGGATGACTATTTTCTGATTTACTCTTTTTTTTTTTTTAACAGTGGAAGATATCAGGTCTTGTGTGATAGTAAATGTAGTTTCCTGGTACTTGAACTTTCATTTTGGATGCCTGCTATATTTTTGATTTGATATGTGAGCTCTGGGTTTTGGCTATGACATTCTTGGGATTTTTCATTTTGCAGTTTCTTTTAGGAGGTGATCAGTGGATTCTCTCTTTGCTCTCTGGTTCTAACAGATCTGGCAAGTTTTCATTTTTTAAAAGTTTTTTAAAAAAATGTATTTTTCAGGAAGTCCTATGGTTGTAAAAATATCTCTTTGACCTATTTTCTAGGTGAGCTGTTTTTGATACCAAATATCTTTTCTCTTATTGCATTGTTTTTTTAAAAATCTTTAGATTTTGTTCTAATATTTCTTGTTGCTTTATGGACTCTGATTTCTTTTTGGGCTATTGAACTTTTCACAGAATACATTTCTTGGGCAAAGTTTATCACTTTATTTCCTAAGCTACTTATTTCTCTTTCAATTCTTTCCAAATATATTTCATTTTTAATCTCTTGCTTCATTACTTTTAGGTATTCATGTTGTCCTTGTAGAAAATCCATTCTTTCTATGGATATTAGATTCTCAATAGTTTTTAATTATGGTGTTTAATTTATTCTTCTCTTCAGCTTTCATTCCTGAGCTGGGAATTTATGCCAGGGTTGGGCTTTACCCTCTGCTGTGCTTTTGGGTGAGATGGTAGATTTTGCATATTAGGTAAATATGCTGACCTTTAATGTCCTGGAGGTAGGCATCCTTGGATCTCTGAAGTTCCGGAATAGTGGCTCTTCAGGGCCCTCTCTGATATCTCAGGATAGAGTTTTATGGATCTTACATCCCCTGGGCTTGGTATGTATTTATTGGAGAACTGCAGTAGGTACTAGTCATTGCTAACTATTATTCCTTAGGACTTCCAAAGTTCCCACACTATAGCCTTCTCATTTCTTCCATTCTTGCTGCCTCTGGACACAGAATTTTGCATGTTATATGCATCCCTGGAAGTTTCTGGTTGTGCAAGGGGGCTAACTTGTGTTGGTACTAGTGAGCTTCCTTTCTTTTTTATCTAGGGCATCTGGCTGACTTCTTGTACAGTTATGGCGTGAAAGAAGTCAATGTAATTTTTCCTATGAATTTCTAAATCATTATTCAGTTCAAGGTTTTGATGGAATAGCTATGTAGGAGCTGGGCAGCCTTCATCCACTCAGACAATTATCTTGGCTAGAAATCAGGGTATTTTCTCAATTCTTTTCTGGGACCAACTGCTGGCATTATAATTATATAAGTTTAGTCTTCATTTTTATTATGCTTTCATTATGTATACTTATTTTTCTGTTCTGTTTACCTTACTTTTTCTTCAATTCGTATGAATTTCCATGCTTTTCTGGATGTTTGATATTTGTTCATAGAGAACAGTAGTAGTCCAATATTGATATACTACAATTTCTTTAGCCATTTTCAAATCATTATCAACCATGAAGATTTTGAGATATAGTGGACCTTTTGGCCTTTCTATCTTTAGCCTTTTACCTAAATGTACTGGAATTTTTGGGTCAAAGGTATGGACATTTTATTATTTTTTTAAAAGCACAATTTCAAATTGCTTCTCAGAAGGGTTGGACTAATTTGTAGTTCCACCCATGGTTTGTTTAGTGTGCTTGTCCTCCCATAGTCTGTCCAACATTGAGTATTTCTATCTTCTGACATCTTTTCCAAAGTGCTCATGTGAAGTCAAACCTCAGAGGTGTTTTGATTTACATTTTTCTTGTTATTAGTGATTTGTAGTTAGCTTTCATATGTTTTTTTTAAAAAAATAGCCTTTGATTTCAACTCCCTTCATCAATGCAGACTGGCATCCTCTCTACAATTTATAATCTTAAACATTTGCCATATGGCTGGAAGCTGCCTGGGTTGAAGCTGCTTCCTGACTACCACTCCTTGATCTGATACCCATGCATATCATTCTCATCTTTCTAGTATACCTATCCTATTCTTCCCATCCTCTGCCCACAATCATTTTGTATATATTTATATTTACTTGTATCTGTATCTATGGGACCCCCAACACACCAAGAATGTAAGCTATTTGAGGGCAGAGTGTTTCATTTTGCCTTTGTATCCTTGGTGCCTAGCAGAGTGCTTGATACATAGTAATCTTAAATAAGTTTGTTGAGTTGACTAGAATCCAGAAGTTAGTGCTACTAGGAGCCTAAGACATGTTCTTAACTTGGGGTCTAAAATTATTTCTTTTAATATTTTGGTAACTATATTTCAATATAATTGGTTTTCTTTGTAATTTCTACGTATTTTATATATTTAAACAACATTATTGAGAAAAGGAGTCAGCTTTATTACCTTTATCAGACTGCCAAAGGGGTCCATGACACAAAAAAGGTTTCTAAGAACTCCTGGTCTAAGATCAATGTTTTAATTAATTAGAGGCTATGTTTAACCATTCAACTCACAAACATTTATAAAGTACTTACTATGTATCAAGCATTGTGCTGGGCAATGAGAAAACAAAGACAAAAAAATGAAAGCAGCTTACATTTTATATTTATATATATTATATACTTATGTATATCTATATGTGTACATATGTATGTGTTTATAACACACATATACACACACAATAAACAAGAGGTAACTGGGGACTCCAAGAAATTATAGCAGCTTGAAAAACTAGGGATTCTAAGAGGCAGAGGTGAGGAGTGAGTACAATCCAGGCATAGAGGATAGTTCATGCAAAGGCACAAAGACAGAATGTTACATATGAGGAATAATGAAAGACTAGTTTGGCTAGACTGTGAGTATGTGAGGTGGAGTAATGTGTAATAAATATGGAAAAGTGGTTGGAGCCAGATTATGAAGGACTTTAAATGACAATTGGAGAAGTCTATATTTGATCATATATCTATTCCATTAACACCTTAACACTAAACTGATTTTCTGAATCTCAAAAGTTGGAAGAGACATCACATTCCAACTAGTCCAAACTATATCTAGAGAATGAGAATCTCCAAAATAACCTTTTCTTTTCCCTATAGCAGAAGAGAAATTGTTTAATATCTTAGAAAATGAAAAGATGTGAAAACCTGACAAGTTATAGAAAAGTGAGAAACAGAGCCAGAATCTGACAGTGGTATCCCTTAAACAAAACATTTTAACTCTTCATTCTTGAGAGAGAAAAAAATTTAAAACATAATCTTTGATGTTGTTCATCTTAATGAATTCCACGGTCAAATCTGCCAAACTGATACAAAAAATAAAATAATGCAAACAATTGTAGATGTGATATAGACTGTGAAAATACAAAAAAGTAAGGCATGATGACTAGATTTTATTCTCATTTAGTATTTATAAATTTTATATAAATATAAAATACTTCAAGGAAAAATTAATAATAAAACCCCACATCCTAATTTCCCTGTAAGCTATATGCTACTATACATATTATATTTGTACTTATTATTATTAAAGATACAAGCAACAAATTACATTGCCAGGAAAAATTACTTGCATATCATATAACAATTTAAGATATCTGAAGTGACTCATTCCAAGAAAGCTTATTTCTTTTATTTAAGTAAAACCAACACATGTATTTATTGAAATGATCATAAGCTCTGGTAATTATTAATATTTTATTATGATCTAAAAATCATTTTTCTTAAAGTTTTCTCATCAGAACATTCAAATCTGTGTCTTTATTAGAGACTAGGTTGTTTAAATTTTCTGTGCTAGAATAAATGGTGTGATATGCTATTCACAGATAACTAGATATGTGTATTACATAAAGGAATAATACATATATATGTATGTATCTGCGTACATAGACCAAGAATAGTACTTATAATTAGTCAGTAAAAAATGTGCTATTTTTTGCAAATACATTTTAATCCTAGAAAATACTCAAATTAACTTTTGCAGAGAGGAACTCCTTCCATTATTAAAGACAACTCTTGAGCTTCAGTATTTAAAGCATTTGATATAGGCCTTCTTGATAGGAGACCATGGTTTCGTCTGATTTTTCCTAAAATATTATTCTCCCTTTTGGATGAGCTAGGGTTAGTTGTATCCCAGTTCACCATATGATGAAAAACCTCTGGCAAGGTAACATCTGAACTTTCATTGTCAATTCTTATTTTAGTGGCAAGAATCTTCTTCAGTGTAAGATTGTCCATGTACTGAGACACTCTGTTCCCCTTTGGCTTTTGTTCAGGGTGATATGACTTTCTGTTGACAAATGGGCTTCCAGGTTTAGCATAAATTCCAGTCTTGGTAATGGAAGGAAGAAAAACTTGAGATGACATTTTCCCTGCAGTGCTAAGGGATGAATCCTGAAGATAGCTAGGGAAATGGTGATTTATTTTATAATCAAAGATTAATTTACCTGAATCTGGATCACTTGATTGCAAAGGGTATAGACCATCCCCCATTAATTTATCATTCAAATTTGTTGAATCTTGATGATTATTGAGTCTTTCGAAATTATCTTTAGATCTTTCAGGTAAGTGGTCAAATTTGCCTTCTTTAAAGAGCAATCCAGTGCCTGGTATAAAAAGTTCTGGATATACCTGCTTTGACAGATGAGTGGCAGCTGTATGTGGTATTTGCTTTTGTATATGTCCATTAATCAGTGAATTTTTCCAGATTAAAGGGTTATAGACAATTTGGCCATCAATAGGGCATGAATTACATATATTTAGTAACCAATCATCAATACATTTCCTATGAAACTTTAAAAAAATATATGTTAGAATTGTATCATCTTTATTATAATAATCAGTAATACAATATATAAAGTCTCATCAAAACATGAAAAATACAACTATTAAGCAAGGACTAAAGATATATTTCATTTTTCAAGGAGGTATGTTTTAAATTTTTTATAAAGCCAGGCCCCCTTAAATACAACTGAGCTATCATTTTATGTACTGATTAAATTTTGAGTCATCTGATAAACACTGCTTTTGCAGGTCATATTAAAGATTCAAGATTAATTTTCTTGAATGGATAATTTCATTTAAATCTATCTAAATATTTATTTTCTAGTGAAGAAATTAATAAAACAGTTGAAAATTAATTATTGCTAAAAGTTTTAGACTCTGGCTTTAGTTCACATGGAACAATAATTATCACACATTTATATAATATAAAATGTATACATATATGTTTGTATATATCTATGTATATACATGTATAACATACACATATGTTTGTATGTGCGCACATAAATATATGTGCATGTGTGTATATAAATGTGTATGTATGCATGCACATATATATATACATACATATATACATATACATATCTATCTACCTATCTATCTATCTATCTATCTATCTATCTATCTATCTATCTATCTACACATACTCATATATTTTTTGGGGAGGAGTAAGACTGAATCTACCTCACTGGCTGGAAGTACAGTGGCCACTCACAGACCTGACCCCACGGATGATAGTAATAGAAGCTTTGGCCCGCTCCATTTCCAACTTGGGCCTGACCTGTCCCTCTTTAGGCAGCCCAGTGGTTCTCTGCTCCTGTGGACTTGCCACACTGATACTGGACTTAGTACAAACATGCAATTGACCATAATGCAGCTCAAAATTCTCAAACTTGTAACCCACTAGCCTCAGTCTCCCCAGTAGCAATGTTTGTAGGCATGTATCATCACTGAGGGCGGAGGATATCTTTCATTCAAAAATTCTAATAATTTGATAAGACAAAATATAGGTATTAACACCCCTCTTTAAATGGATGCAGCATGTCAATAAAGGAAGACCAAAACCTTGAACTTTAATTTCATTTTACTGGAGAAAAAGATTAATCATAATTAAGAATCCTTTCTTAGGATGTGGGACACTCTTCTAAGTTCTAAGGTCCTCTCAGTTCTAAGATTCTACGATATTACAATTCTGCTTTATCTCAACCAAACTTCTGCAAAGTTTAATAAAGGGATTGAACTTCTCATCTTTGGTCTACTTATTCACTCTGTATGCTTTCTAGCATAGCACCAATAAGTGAATAACAGATTATGAAATCACTCATGTATTTATTTACCTATGTGTGAAGCCATGAAATATAGTTAAAAGTTGAAATGAAGGAACAAGGCTGACCAAAATGACATGGACAGACTACTATTATTACTTTACCTTGTGATTACATGATAATAGTCTTGTATGCTGACCAAGACAAAATGCCTTCAAACAAAGTCGACACTGGTTCCCTGGAGCAAGCAGCTTACTGTTCTTTGTAATTAATATGAGAGGAAGTGATGTTACTACATGCTTTGGTGTGCAAATGATACTGAAATAAGAAGAAACGTGGAAGTATAAATACTGATTTATGGATACATGTAATAAAATACTTATACTATTGCTATAAGGTTGTGCTTCATAACTAAAGACAATGCTAATTATTACCCTGAAGGCAATAAAGTTATATGAAATATAAAGTTTGAAAAAATCTACTCATTTCTTATCCTTAACAATATAGTTTTAATACCACTTGGTAAGATGGAAAACACAGGTTTGATTCACAGAATTCCATTATACTCCAATTAAACAAACACTTGTTAAATACTATGTATATGTGCAACTTTCCTTTTTCAGAATTGTGTTTAGATTTATATTAGTCCCCCAAGAAATTTCTGGGGTGGTTCTTAATAGTTTATTATTACTCCCAGCTTATCATCCATAGGGTGATTAACTTTTTAGCCACAGTCATGATCAAAGAAGCACACTAAGTCATAGAAGGAATGCAATCTATATCAGTGGAAGAACAGCCAACACTGATGAAATTACAGATCACTGAAGTATGAGTATAAAGGGGAATAAAAATAAAGAGGAAGTATATCTATCTCACAGAAACATAGGTTTATGGAATAAAGTTTCCTTTCTTCCTCAACAAGAGAGGAAGAACTTAACAGATGAGTTTTTCATTGAATTCATTATTTTTTAAACCTCATTAACCTTTATGTCTGTGCAGGGAAATTCAAAAATAGGGATCCTCAAAGGAAAGTACTCTTTTTGCCTCCTGGAAAGGCCAATCTTGAAAACATTATTGAAATAATTCAAATTGGGAAGAAATTACCTGAGAGAACTTATAACTAATAGAGAACTTTCTGGATTAAATTTACTTAAAATGTCATTCTTACCTTTTTTCAAGATGTGTCATTTCTTCTTCAGTCTGATTTGTAAGTTCTGTATTTTTAAAGATTCTCCCTGAAGGACATAACCCTGGATTTTTTTCTAGTGATTTCCACCTTTGATTTCTCTTCTGTGTTGGTTAAAAAAGAAGTGATTATCTTGTAATTCAAAGACATTTTCTATATAAATTTTATGGTTAAAAATTAGTGACATGCAAATAAATTACAAAAAATTTAAATATTTATTAAAGTTTTTTCTTTCCTACCCCTATACATTATTTTATATTACAATTTACAATGTTTCATACTGCAACATAAAGTTGTAGTACTACAGCATATTTTAAGGTAAACTACTAAAAACAAGGAAGTAATTTTCATAAAAACTATTTTAGTTATATCAATGTTTTATTTTCTTTTATCTAAAAATAAAAAGCAGTTATTATTGTTCATCACTATTTGATATTTGATAATGTTTTCTAAGTAGCAGGAAAGCACCGTTTATAAATTTCTAATCTAATAGAATTCTTCTTTTCTTAGCCTAGCATGGAGGCATGATATAGTAGAGATGGGGGATGTCAGTTATTTAGACATTATCTGGAATTTTCTTTCTGCCAAAAGCAGAGAAACTAATTGGGTTGTCTTACTGGTAACTTCATCTTCGAAGAATGGTAGAAGGAATGTTAGGAACAATTAATGTGGGCCTGATTCTCACCAACAAGGAGGAACTGGTTGCTGAGATAAAAATAATAGGAAACTTGAGTGGAAGTAAACATTCCATTTGGGAAGTTGTATTAGAAATGGAAAGGAAAGGTAGAGTAGTTAGACATACATCTGGGTTTTCAGAAAAACAACAGATTTTAAAGCATTCAGGGGAAGAATAAATAGGTTCCCATACCCCTAAAATTCTAGAGAGTATGGCAGCCAGAAAGGATAAGAAGCTCTTAAAAAAATCTGAAAACATGGAAAAATGATTCTAATGAGGAAATGGGGGTATCATGTAGAAAAACTGATGTGGACAGATGTAGAATTCATTAACTACTTCAGATTTCAAATGTCATTTAGTAGAAGATAAAAGCAAAGGTAGGGAACTGAGGATGAATACAAAAGCATGAAATGATCCCATAAGAATAAGGTCCAGAGTGGTGAAGTTTGAATAAACTAACACTGGTGAGGAATGCTACAATCAACAAAAAAATGTTATTTAATGCTATGCTGGAGAGAAGAGAAAAGATCAAAGAAGGAATAAGGCTACTGTTTAGAATTGCTATTATGATAATGCATGGCAGGAGAAAAGGCAGAACTATTTCCCTTTCCTTTTGCTTCTGTTTTCTCTGAAAATTAGAATTTTCAGATTGGAAATAACAGTCAAAAATAGCTAAACAGGGGTTGAAACCCAACAAAAGGTAGGTGAAATGAAAAGTAAGAGAGCACCTACCTGTCCTTTGGGAGTTGAGATGAAGATGCTTAGATGAATGCTTTCTGACTTAAAGAATTGGTAGATGTGATTGCTAAGTCAGTAACCTTTTCAAGATCTTGAAAAAGGAATATTGGAAAAGAAAAAATGTCTTGATTTGAAAATAAAAATTAGAGGCTTCCAGGGAGCTTGATTTTGATAGGTCAGTGAGCTTTGTTTTGATTTCTAGTAAAATCCTAGAAAATATTATTAAATGGCTCTTTGGTGAACATCTAGACAGTGAAGATCACCAAGAGTTAGAGTGATTTCACAAAGAATGTCATGCCAAACTAACTTAATTAACTTTTTTTTGACAACATAGGTAGATTAGAGGAATATTACATATTTTGTATTTTAGGAAAAATTTAACAAAATCTTCCTTCTATTCCATGCATGAATGACAAAAAAATATATAGTCTAGATCAGTGGTATCAAATTCAGATAGAAACAGGGGCCCTTAAACTAACCATACCTAAGGATTTCTGCAGGCTGTTGCCTATTGACTTAGAAAACCACACTATTATTTATTTCTTTTTTATTATTATCAATACATGAACATGCTAAAATCAGATAAGAACTATGTTTTAATGTAGTTCAAATCACCCTAGAGAATGTTGTGGGATGTGTGTTTGACACTTCTGGTCCAAACAATAATAGTTATGTATATTCATACTGTTTGAATGGTTGAACACAAAGGATTATTATTAATTCAACCTTAGAATGAAATCAAGTGGAGTAGTACCCCCAGAGATTTCTTTGACTCTGTGTTAACATTTGTATCAATGATTTGGATAAAGGCATATTTCATACACTCATAAAATGTGGGAGGGGCAACAGTATAAAATGTTATCTAGAATAAATATAATAAGATGAAATAGGGACAAATATAAAGAATCATTTAGAGAGGGCAGCTAGGTAACACAGTGGATAGAAAACCGGCCCTGGAATCAAGAGGACCTGAGCTCAAATCCTGCCTCAAATCAAACACCTGACACTAGCTGTGTGACCCTGGGCAAGTCACTTAACCCCAACTGCCTTAAAAAAAAAAGAATCATTTAGGTTAAAAAATCAACTTTATAAACATGTCATGCCTGTCACACACTTAATAAGCACCTATTTTCTTGACAAGATAAGGGGTGCATATTTAGAAAACAGCTAATATGAATAAACGATCTGGAGGCTTTAGTGAGCCTGAAACTCAGTATCAGTAACTAGCATGATAACCAGAAAAGTTAATGCATGCATAGGCTGTATTAAGAGAGATGTATTGTTCAGGACTAAGGAGGTTAACAGTCCTGCTGTACTTTGACTTGCTTGGGCCACATTTAAATTATAGTGTCCAGTTTGGGACATATTTTAAGAATGATATTGCCAAGTTGGAGAACATCCAGGTAAGAGATATAAAGATGGTGAAAGATTATGCCATTGAAGGATCATTAGAAAGAAGTAGGTATATTCATCCTGGAAAAGAGAAGATTTTTTAAAAGGGACATGTTAGCTATGATCCAATATTTAAAGGATATCATATGGAAGGTCAATTAGACTTGTTGTGTTTGGACCCAGAAGGCAAAATAAGGTGAAATGAGCAAAACTGCAGAGACAGGGGCACCTAGGTGGTGTAGTAGACAAAGCACCAGCCTTGGAGTCAGGAGGACCTGAGTTCAAAACCAGCCTCAGACACTTGACACTTACTAGCTGTGTGACCTTGGGCAAGTCACTAAACCCCAACTGCCTCACCAAAAAGAAAAAAAAAAGTTGCAGAGACAGCTTTACTTAAGGGAATACTTCCTAACAACTGTAGGTATCCAAAAGTGATTCTATGGTTAAGGTTCAACATTGCTACTAATAGTAAGAAATTATTCATTATAATGTTTGTTAGCTGAAAGTTTTAGCAGGATAAATTATGTGTGATGTTAACCATTTCTGAATTTAGGCTGAAGTAAAGCCATAAAACATTTATCTATATTATCTATACATTTAGAAGTGACTTATACAGTAGCAATTACTATTTGGTAGATATCAATAAGATGATGACTACGCCCAAAATAAAAAGTATTGAGTCTAAATGAGTTGTCCATTATCATTAAGTCAACTTTTCTCAATATTATCATTTTTTACCACATATCTGGACCATTCGTTCTTGACCAGTGTCATTTATTCTATTTTGATCTATAATCACATCTCTATTCTGCCTTTTCCATTACTACTGGCCATTCCTCGGTTAGCCCTTACACCTTACACCAAAGCTCCTTTTTCCTTTTTTTTTTTCAACTTCTCTGCCCTTTCTCCATCTCTTTTGATTATATTAGGCTTTAATAAAAATGCATTGCAGTTTATCATTACAATTGAAATGTATTTTTTGATTGCCTATAGAGATTGCCTATACTAGAGAACATAATAAATGTTTGAGATGAATACTATACCTGTCGAAAAGTAAAAATATGTGGAGGATGGCAACAACTAACAAAACATTCGTGGCATAGGTGATATTCAGTACATTCAGTGCACCTAAAATACCAAAACAAAGAAAATGCTAGATCCAGATGTTTTGGAATATGATCAAGTGTTTGATAGCTTTCCTAGCAAGCTCTTTCTTCACTTTTCAGAATCCTAGACATTCTTCAAGGCCTGGTTGAAGCCATGCCTCTGCCATGAAGCTTTCTAGAACTATTTTTGCCCTTATCACAATTCCTATAGTAGTAGATTATCATTTTGGCATTTAGAATTCCTTTCCATTTAACTTGTTTACTAATTGTTTCATCCATGTTATTCATGTCAGGAACATCTAGATTATATTTTCTGAGGGCAAATACCCTGTTTTACTTGGCACAGGGATGAGTAAGTGGTAAATGCTCAACAAACACTTGTTGATTAAATAAGGGAACATAGTTTAGTACGTAATCATGCTATAGGTCCCTCTGAAATGATCCATTTTACAGATTACAGGTAAATTTTACAGGATGTTTAAAAAACTTCAATTGATTTCTGATTTTATTCAAAGCTGTTGAAACAACACTCTGAAGAGTAAAGAAATATATTCAGTCGTTAGTATGAAAGGTTCAGATGAGAATTTATCTTTTTTGGTGGAAATACAATTTTCAGCTTCCATCAAAATTCTCTTACAATGCCTCATCATGGCAAAAAGGTTATTTGGGTTCATGACAGCAAGGTACAAGCTCTACCCAACCAGAATGGGCCCCCAAATAGACTGTTTCTGCTGTTGTGCAAGGACCAGCTTAGCTAAATATAATCATTGGCCTAGAAGTGATGAAATTTTTGACTATGGTGTTCCAGGAAGCACATACAAATATAACACGGTCTCCCATTCTTGTGTAGATTCACCCTGTTTTCACAGTGGCCTGGTGGAAAAGAGGGGCAAAGAGTACTAAGAATCACATAGTTTTTAATTATGTAATGACATTAACTATTGGTACTCTGAGTTGGTTTAATTTTTTTTTTTGTCTAAGACTAATGATGTGAGGTACTATAGGAGAACTGAATCATATCCATGTTCACATTCTTAGTCATAGAAAGAACTAGATCTGTGATTTCATTGGTATAGGGACTCCTGGGTGAGGATATGTCTATCAATGTAGGTGAGCACTTTTTCTTTTTTTTTCTTTCTTTTTTTTTTTTTGCAGCTTAGAGTCTTAGAGTGTTGCCTAGAATACTGAAATACTAAATGATATGTTTCAGGTCACATACCTAGTATGTGTCAGAGGTGGGACTTGAACAGAAATCTTCCTTGTTTTCAGCCCAGCTCTCTACAGCCACACTTTTATACATAATGAAATCAGAATGCAAGTACAGAATACAACAGTAGCTTAATAGAAGGATGGCTCAAAGTTTCTTCTAGGGTCAAAAAAAGGAGTTGGCAGAATTGGTTTCATCATGTTCCGAAGGTAACAAATAACACTATGTCATGGGAAAACTTCTCATTTGACTTAGCACTCTTAATGATGAACACAAGCAGACAAATACAAAGACAATGACAATTCATGTTCCAGTAATTATTAAGGATTAAGAAATAGAGAAAACTGTATGAAGAGCTGAATAAACTCCAGATTAAGTCAAAATATACCTTAATATTTAATATTTTCAGTGCAAAGATGGGAACAGGTGAGTATAGTGAAGATATGTTAGAAAGTAGCAGCTAGGAAGTGCAGTTAATAGAAGTAGAGCTGGAATCAAGAAGGACCAAGTTCAAATCTTGCCTCAGACAATTACTACTTGTATGGGCAAGTCACTTAAATGCTGTTTGCCTCAGTTTCCTCATCTGTAAAATGGGGATAATAATACAACCTACCTTCCAGGGTTGTTGTGAGAATAAAATAACATTTGAAAAGTGCTTTGTAAACCTGAAAATGTTATATGAATGTTAATTTATTATTATTACTATTATTATTATTAAAAATTCTGGGCTCAGAACCAAGAGCTCAAAGGCTTTTGAATTATTACCTAGAATTTTATCTGTCTATAATACTCTATAATAAGTATTTTCTTTAAAAAGTGATATGGAAGGCATCTGACCTGGTAAGCACTGAACAAATCATATACAAAAAAAAAAGTGAAAGTCACTACAAATAGATAGTGAATTGGGTCTAGAACTAAATAGGAGATCATGCTGGGTAACATTTAGGAAACTAAATAGATATTTCAAAGAATTCAAACTGCTTACTGCTTAAAAGCTCATCTTTTTAAAACTATTATTCTTTGGTTGACAGTATACGGCTCCCGACTCATGGAACACCATGATATCTGAAAAATCAAAATCAAAGGTGTCACAAAGAGAAATGGTAAGATATATGATGGGTGTAGTTATGCTATAGCATATTGCCTATGATGGGTTGTGTCAAAGAAGTAAGAGATCATCAGTGATATACATGAACAGAAAAGAAGGTGGGTCAGTCTTGTAAAGAGAGTAAAGGATAACAGATACGCAGCCTGAGTATTGCTCTAGTACTCCCTAAATAATAAAAGAATCAGAAAAGTCTCCATTTTGGGTGAATCTTCTATGGAAGACTTACAAGAAGACACAGGCAAAATGGAAATGATTGTGATTTGTGCTGGTGGAGGGACTATGCCCACCAATAAGCTCATGAATCCATCTAAATAGATTTCCCTTAAAGACAATACAGGATAGGGCTATCACCTGTGATTTCATTTGTATAGGGAATTCGTGTAGGAGAAAAGTCCCTCTATCAATGGATATCAACATCCTTTCTATAACAAAGTCTTACAGAGTTTTCTAAAACACTGAAAGGCTGAGTCCAGGGTCACAAGTCCATTTGTGCTAGCAATGGAATTCAAATTCTGGTCTTCCTATCTCTGAGGACAATTCTTTCTTCATGAACTAGGCCACACTGCATCAAAAAGGCAATATTTCTTTTTTTTAAAAAATGTTATTTTATTTATTTAGGCTAGGCAATGGGGTTAAGTGACTTGCCCAGGGTCACACAGCTAGCAAGTGTTATGTGTCTGAGACTGGATTTGAACTCAGGTACTCCTGAATCCAGGGCCGGTGCTCTATCCACTGTGCCACCTAGCTGCCCCCAAAAGGCAATATTTCTTATTGAATATATTCACCAATAGATAGATAAATGACATTTACTATTACTGTTTTTGCTTTTTCTTGCTTACTGTTTACACTCGCTCTTATTTATTAGTCACATTAAAGAAGGGCATCGATGGAGAAACGCAATCTTTAATCTACAATTTATGTGTATTTGGCTTTCAACCATTTAAGGTATTACATATAAAACATATTTTAATATTCTCAAAATTCACTTTATACTGATAATAATATTCTTCTTTGGCCACTTCACGTAAGAGGAGTTCTAAAACAATCTCACTGCTCGATTCTATACTGCAACACATTGGAAATGAATAGTTTATATTTCAGACTAACGTAAACAATGATAAATCAAAGCCTTTGTACCTTTAACCTTCCTGGGGCATGTTTCAATGACTGTTCAATAAAGCTAATGATTATTTAGATTCCTCACTAATTAATGATCAGTAGGCTTAAGATGAAGACTTCCTATAATACAGATAATTGAAAATAATAAAACAACAGTAAAATTGTTGACATCTATAAAGCGCTTTAAGGTTTGCAAAGCCTGTACAGAACTTTATCTCATTTAAACCTCACAACAACTGAGGTAAGAGCTACAGGGATTTTAAATCCTCATTTTGCCACTAGTAAGTATTGGGACCAGGATACAAACTCAGGTCTCCTGATTCCAAATCTAGCTGTCTCTTTCTACTACACCAGGCTGCCTCTCATGAACATTATTATCATCCTCTATTATCAGAGTATAATATGTTCTATAATTGATCATTATTTTATCTTCTAATCAGGTACATTCTGATAGTAATAGCTATACAACAACACTGTGAAATCACCAGTGTGAATTTTACTGTTCATGCTTTACATGTGAAAATTTGAGAGTCAATATAGTTGAATGACTAACTACATTTATAGAACACTAAGTGTTGGATTTGTCACAGCCAAATGTTATTTTAGCTTTCTACCTCACTCATATACTTCTCTATCATGGCTCTTTATAAATGGTTATGAATTCTAGTCTATATAAATAGATAAATATAAATCAATCTATGTATTGATGGAAAGACTACCTATCTATCTATCTATCTATCTATCTATCTATCTATCTATCTATCTATCTATCCTTCAAGAGATATAACCAAGGTCACATAAATCTTGGGTCATCTTCCACTAGCACGGGTCAAAGCTACTATGCTTCCTTCTTAATCTCTGTAATTCTCTTCCAAGTCTTTCTATAAACCCTCCATAGGGGATCCATTCAAAATACATTTCTGATTCTTTCTATATCTTGAAAGTTTTAGTGTAGCATTCATTTGTAGCAAGAATGTCAATATGGATGAAGTATACTTCTTCTACTAATATGTCAACTCACTGGCAACTGGTTTACATGCTGAGAATACTAACAATTAAATCAGTGTTAACTAACAGTATAAGAATTATTTAATTCTTAGTACCTTCTGCCCCTGTTTCCAAGGTTAAATCATTGTCACTACAGGTCTGATGGTCGTTTTGTATTTTGATATTTTAGGTCACCATGGAAAAAAAAATCACCTCTGTGTATGGTATGCTAAATTTTATGTAACATTTGATCTATTCCTCTTCTACCTAAGGCAATGGTTTACATATCTTCATTATATCCTGCCTCCTTTAATTATATTTCTCTGGTTTTCATAGGCTTCATTAAATTCACCTGTACCTCTTTATTGCTTCTCAACTGATTAATCAACAAGTATTTATTAAATACCTACTGTGTTAACAGAGGTTATACTAGGTACTGGGTATACAAATATAAAACGCAGCAGTTCCAGTACTTAAAGAGTTTACATTTTATCAAGTGAAACAATATGTACATATCTAAGTAGATGCAAAATATATACAAAGTAAATACAAAATATTTGTTGTTGTTTCTGAGGGGGAAAGAAACAGTCAGAGAGGGGAAAATCACGTGCTGAGCTTTGAAAATACCTAGAGCTTCTCAGAAGTTGAAGAGTTAATGAATGCATTTCAGACATGGAGATAGTCCATGCAAAGATATGGAGATTGGATTATGATTGAGCAGCATGTCTGGTAGTTTTCCTATGAAGTTCTTCCCTCACTCCTCTTGAATCTCCTACCCTTTCTTAAAGGCCTGGTTTAAGCCTACTGTCTCCAAGAAGTCTTCTATGACTATTTTTACCGTAGTAATCTTCCTTCCTATAGTATTAAATTATGTAATGTGTGAAGAACAAGGTGGCCAGTTTAGCTGCAAAGTCTGGAGTCAGACTGTGAAGGGCTTTAAATGCAAAAGAGAAGCATTTGTATTCAATCTTAAAGGCAACAGGAAGCTACTGAGCTTCTTGAGCAGAGAACTGAAATCGTCAGACCTGTGTTCTAGGACTATCAATTTGGCATCTATAAGGAGTATGAAGTGGAGGAGAATTAGAAGAGAGGGAAACTAATTAGAAGGCTATTGTAATAGTCCCAATTACAAGTAATAAAGGCCTGAATTAGAGTGATGGCCCAGTGGTGGAGAAAAAGGAGGGATTTGAGAGATGTTGTGGAGACAAAATCAATGACTTGAAAATTAATTGGGGTCTGGGTGAAGAATCTAGGATAATTCTGATATTGTGAAACTGGGTGAGTTGTATTTGTGGTAATCTCAACAGAAATTGGAAGCCAAGAAAGGCAGGTTTAGGGGAAGGGATGAATTCTGTTTTTGACAAGTTGAGTTTGAAGAACTTATGGGACATCTAGTGGGAAATGTCTCTAAGACAAGTGATGATATGAAAATGAGGATTAGGAAAGAGCTGGATTTATAGATTTGAGAGTTACCTGTATAAAGACAATAACTCAACCCTTGGGAAAGTCACAGAATATTAGAACTCAAAATCAAATTATGTAGTCCTACATGATAGGTCATAGAATGGGAAAGGCTCTTAGAGATAATCTTATAGTTCAAATGAGGAGACAGGTCCAAGGGGTGAAAGTGACATAGCTGACAAGTGACAGAGTTACAACTTGAACCCAAAGCTTCTGACTCCATGTCCAGAAGTCTTTCTACTATAGCATCCTTCCTCCTAGGCCTACTCTTTGTCATTGGTAGCTCCCATACTCTAACTCTATCCAGGACACAAAGTATAACCTAGCAGTTATTCATTTAATCAACAATCATTTAATAGCAACTGTATATAGATCACCAACCTAAAAACTAAGGGGGGTGGAAAAGACACAAATATACTCTAAAAATAGATGTTTCTTAGGAAGCCCTGAGGATTAACGAATGTTTCTTAGGAAGCCCTGAGGATTAACAAGCACATAATTCTTATATTGTATATGTAACACATACACACACACACACACACACATACAATATGATGTATTTTCTTGCTATCCTAATATCTTTTATTACTTACCATATGAAATTGAAAACTGATCAAGAAGAATAATTTATTTCAAATATGTAAAAACAAAATTAGCGAGACTTCTAATGGCTTCAAGAATTAAATTCTGACTTATTTGGAAAAGAAAAGGTGATAGCATACTTAAGATTCAGTAGACTATGTAAACTACAAAAATGATGTTTTAAGTATAGTTTTAGTTTCTGAAATCACCAAAATAAATTTCTAAAATTTCTCACACTATACCTGTATTAAAAACATTAACTTATGATAAGCACAATATATCCTTGATAATTTTTATAAAGTCTCCATTGTTACTGGAGAAAGAAAAAAAAGCATTATGATCACTTGGTTATTTTTTTCTTCCAACTTGAACATTAAGGACACCACAAAACTTCCTAAGGAATAAAACTATGAAAATAAAACACTGATAAACTGGGATATGAGATATTCTAGTGAACTAAAAATTCTAATTAACTAAGAATTACCAGAATACTTTTGTTTCAAAATTAATGAAAATCTTTATTGGCTCATTTCCCAAATGAGTATAAGTTAAATGTATTTATAATTGATGAGTTTACAGTGTTCTTCAGTCTATTAATCTGAATATCAGTTAGGATTGTAGCATACTTTAACAATTAAAAAATATGTATTAATCAACTATTGTATGCTAGATATTGTACTAGGGAAGGAGGGCACAAAGATGAAAATTTCAACCCCTACCCTCCAGCAGCTTACAGTCTGATGAGAGATTATTATTCATCTGTACACAAATAATAACTAGTATTATATGGTACCATAGGGTTTTCAAATTGCTTTATAATTATTATCCCATTTTATTCTTACAATAATTCTGAGAGACAGGTATTATTATTACTCCCACTTTACACATGAGGAAACTGAGGCGCAGAAGCTTAAGTGACTTGCTTAGGGTCATACAGCTAGTTAAATGTCTCAAGCTGAATTTGAACTCAAGCCTTCCTGACTCCAGGTCCAGGGCTCCATCTAACTACACTGCTTGGCTATCTGACATACTGTCTCATACACAAATAAGTATGCTACAAAGCAGAATATGATAAGGGAAAAGGAGATGTCTAAACAAAGTGTAGAACTCTAAACAAAAACAAAAAAAGAGACAGAGATCACTTTTATCTGTGAGGGAATTAGGAAAAATATTATAGAAAAGGTGAAGTATAAAGTGGTTCTTGGAGAAAGTGAAACATTTTACTAGGTAAGAATGTGGCCTGGTCAACAACCTGGGCAAATGCATGGAATTAGAAGACAGAACTATATAGAGCAATAGATATTAGCTTGGTTTGGCTGGAACATAGAGTAGTACTCTTACATGAAGGAGAGTAGAGTGAAATACGGCTGGAGAATTCTTTTCTTTAAAAAAGACAAATAGAAAAATAACAAAAACTGGATTTATTCAAAACATATTCCAAAAATAACTCAAAAGGCAAATGTTTCAGTAGAATGGAAAAGGAAATAATTCTTCTTAAAAATATATGGGAAAGCTGACAAAAAAGGAAATGCAACAGATTTTAACAGTCCATTTAAAAAGGCTGGGATTAACAGGAGACTTTTGATTTGTTATGTCTTTGCCTCAGATTGTTTTCACTGGCTGTCCTCCATGCCTGGAATTTTGACACTCTTCATTGCTACCTGTTGGCTTCTTTCAAGTTACAGCTAAAGTCTTCCCTTATCCAAGAAGCCTTTCCCTATCCTCAATGCTAATGCTTTCCTTCTGAGATAATTTCCAATTTATCTTTTATGTATCTTGTTTGTATATTGTTGTTTTCCCCATTAGATTATAAGCTCTTTCAGAACAGAGACTAGACTGGAACATGCAATGCTGCTAGGAAGTTACTATTCACTTTGAAAGATTGGTAATTTGAGAAATCTCCACCAATGTAGCCTATAACCCCTCAATGTTTCTTTTAATTTTTGGGTCTGAAAAATTCAATACCTTAGTGGTCATCCTTCTGGCAATGATCTTCTCTATAAGTTAGCTAACCTGGTCCTCAGGCAAAACCATCTGTTTCTAGCTTGGATACACCTATCAGAGCTTGGGCTCTTCTTGAAGGGGTTTTCAGAGTCATTTGCATGCCAAGGTGAGTCATTAAACTAGGATTTATTGAGTTAAGAAGCTTCAATAGTGTGAAAAATAAAGGCTATTTTTCTAATTTTTAAAAAATTTATTTATTTATTTTTTGTGAGGCAACTGGGGTTAAGTGACTTGCCTAGCATTATAGCTAGTGTTAAGTGTCTGAGGCAACATTTGAACTCAGGTCCTCCTGACTCCCGGACCAGTACTCTATCGACTGTGCCACCTAGTTGCCCCTATTTTTCTAATTTTTAAAATGATTGATACTTACTTATAACATGTTCCCTCAATTGGAAACTGTCTGCAGTTGTTACATGGAATTCCAAGGTGTTTGTCAAGCCTTTCTTTCTCTGCTGCTGTCACAAGTCTGTTGGAGTTTCTGAATTCATCTAAAATAAGTTTTAAAGGTGCAAACTCTTCCCTGCACAGAGGGCACTTGACAACAGGGTTTTTTGATGACTTATCCTGATGATCAGCCCATATTTTCATACATTTTATATGAACACTATTACCACAACCATACCTGGTAGAAATAACAGAGAATTTGCAAAAGTTATTTTTCACCAATAACATAACTATTCAATGTACCATCAAATCTGTTTCTCTGCTAACCGTGCATCACCAAGAATTGTTACATCAAATTAATTGTTACCATCAGAAAGTTACTACAACTTTCCCCCCTCATAACACACAGTTCTGAATTGATTTCTAGGTATAATTTCTTTGTCTCTACCGAATTATACATTTCTAGGAAGTGCTAAGCAGAAGAGTTAGACCAGAAAATTTTCAATTTATCCTGTTACATTTATTGTAGGATTTTATTTCATTAGTGCTTCATTTGTAAAATAAAAAAATCAATTAATAAATCAATCACTAAACATTTATTAAGTGCTTATGTGCCAGGCACTTTGCTAAGCAGGATTCAAAGAGGCCAAGACAATCCCTACCCTCAAGGAGTTCGCAATCTAATGGTAGAGACAACATGCAAACAAATACAAACAAAGAAGCTATATACAAGATAATAGAAGAAATAAGAGGGAAGGCACTAGAATTAAGAGGGCTTGGGAAAGGCTTTCAATAGAAGATGAGATTTTAGTTGGGACTTAAAAGGAATCCAGGGAAGCCAGTGGGTGAAGTTGAGGAGGGAGGGTGTTCCAGGCATAAGGGACAACCAGAGAAAGTGTCAGGAGCTGAGAGATGGAGTATCTTATCTGTGGAACAGCCAGGATGCAAGTGTCACTGAATAGAAGAGTATGTAATAGGGAGTAAGGTGTAAGAAGACTGGAAAGGTAGGAGGGGACTAAGTTATGAAGGGCTTTGATTGCCAAACAGAGGATTTTGTATTTGATCCTGGAGGCTATAGGGAACCACAGTTTTATTAAGTAGGAGAGTGACATCGTCAGATCTTCACTTTAGGAAAAATCACTTTGGTGGATGAGTGGAGGATGGAGTAGGGAGAGATCTGAGGCAGGGAGACTCACCAGCAGGATATTGTAATAGTCCAAGCATGAGGTGATGAGGGCATGCACTAGTGTGGTGGCAAGTGTTAGAGAAGAAAAGGAAGGGGCGATGTTTGAGAGATGTTGCAAAGGTGAAATCAATAGGTTTTGGCAAAAGATTGGATATGACAGGGAGGACAGAGATGAAGAACTGAGGATGACTATTATGTTTTGAACCTTAGGGACGGGGTGCATGGCGTGGTTTCCTTATAGTAATAGGGAAGGTGGGAGTAGAGTTTAAGGGGAAAGACAAAGAGCTCTATTTTAGATATATTTAGTTTAAGATGTCTACTGGATAGCTAGTTAAAAGGCAGCTGGTGATATGAGATTGGAGGTCAGCAGAGAGGTTGGGGTAGGACTGGTGGAATATCATGAGAATTACTTATTACAGTTAAAAATCTCACCCACTTACCATAATGTTATATATTGTTATATCTTTAAAATCTCAGATTTTAAAAATTATATTGTTTCCAAGGATTTGTAGCGAATAGGGGAGATGCTGCAGGACTTGAGGCATACAAACAGTAGATTAACAAAAGCTATGGAAGACAGACTTTAAATATTGACTGTTGATTGTTGTCCAGTGAGCTTGTCATTGTTTCCTGTAAAAATTCTAGAATGGATTTTTAAAAGGACAGAGTATAAGCACTTAAGGAAGAGGCAGTCACTGTGAGCCTATATGCATGGATAGAGAATTTGTATGGCAGACAAGCATACTTCTACCTCTTCTTCCTCTTCTTTTTTTTTTTTTGACATGGTTACTTAATAGGATAATGGGGAAAATCCATAGACATAATATAACTGGATCTCATTCAGGTATCACTTGGTCAATTTCTCATAATACCCTTACAGAGAAATGTTAGAATTGTTTGACTGACTAAACCTAGAGAGTTGATTAGTGGATCAACATAAAGAGCTCCCCAGAGGTCTGCTACCTCAAAGTCCTGACCTTAACTATATTCTCTTCAACATTTTATTAGTGATTTCAGTGAGATGTAGATAATATGCTTCTCAAGTGACACAAATTAGGGGAGGAATAACACAATGTATAAATAAATAAGGATCCACAAATATGTCATTATCTTATACCTAAACAAGATGAAAATTGATTGGAGTAAATTCACAATTCTGTTCATGGGCTTAAAAAACAACTCATAAATAGAGTTTGGAGAAGAGAGGAATATCTTGGAGTACTGATGATGTCCAGTGTTGGGGGTCACATTTTAGAAAGGTTTAAGATAAGCTAGAACACATTGGTGGGTGAAGAATGTGGTTAAACTAGTAAGGAGACTCAAAAGCAAATCATACAAGAACTGAATGAAGTAACTAGGAATGTTTAGAAAGGGGAAGAGGAGGCTTTAAGGGGTATAGCTTTTAAATATCTAAAAGGTTATCATGCAGCAAAGTATTAAATTGGTTCTGTTTGGCACTAGAAGGCAAATGCCAGACCAATTGCTGGAAATTAGGGTGGCAGATTTTGGCTTAATATAAAATAAGGAATATCTTGAAATAAATAAGGCTGTCCAAAAATGGAATAGTTTGCTTTGGTGGATAATGAATTGTTCATCAGTGACAAGCAGAGATCTGAAACTGATACTCAGGATGCAGTAAATAGGATTTATGTTTCACAAACGCTGGATTAGATTACTTTTAAAATATTATCCACTTCAGCAGTTCTATGATTATATGAAGTTCTTTACTTATACTTCAGGAAACACTTTGGAAATGTAATATTTTCTTAAATCAGATAAAAGCTGATAAAACAGGTATGGAAAACTAAGCTCCCTAAATATTGGGAGAAGATTATTGATGGAAATGAATGAAAGAAATGGAAATAAAAGAATGCAACATTTTTTAAGAAGATGGATTAGCATGAACAATATTTTAAAATATCATTTTATTAAATGTATTTAATTATTAATATTCATTTATTTTATATTGTCACAAATATATATTGAATTATAAAATTATGAAATTTATTAAATTTAAATATTGATAACTACTTCAAAATTTTATTTATTCTTCAAATATTTAAGTGCAAATAAATTTTTGAAGTACTTATCAACATTTAAAACATTTAAATTATTATTTATATATTATATATCATATAATATAATATAGAATATATTACATTATATATGTATTATATATTACAATATATTATATATTATATTATATATGTTATATAATATATATTATTTATATATTAAAATATTTTGAAATAGATTTTGAAAACTATAAGGTATTTTACCATAGCAAAGTGAGGGAACAGCTTTATATTTTAAAGTGCTACCATAAATATAATAGTATTACATCATTTCTTTACCTTCGAAGTATATACACACATGTATACATGCACATGTATATATGTACATATATGTATGTAATCATATAAATTATGCATATAAATTATTTTGCAATTTTAATTTGAAATTAAAGGCTAGGATTGATTTTGTAAGCCTAATTTAATTTTTGATCCTTTAAAGTTTACCATAGAAAACAGTATGAAAACAATTCTTACAATAGGCTATCTTTCATAGAAAAGGTTTAATTTTTCATTTTGGGAAACCTCATAATTAATAGATTCACAGATTAAGAGAGCTGAGAAGGGATCCAAGAAGTCTTCTAGTCCCACCCTCTCATTCAGCAAAGAGGAAACTGAGGCAGACAGGTAAGTTAACTGTTTTGTCCAAGGTTTCACAGATTGTATTCGTAAGCCAGCCTTTCCATTGTATTACCATAAATAACTCTGAATCAATTGAATTGGTACTGAGATCACATTCAATTCATATTGTTCCTTGTATTAATGAATCATCACATGCCATCTCTCTAAATGGTAAAGACAAGCCAATTTAGAAAGAATTTTTCCTTAACTTTCTTATCTCAAGAGAAAAATAACCTGCAGTAGGTGACTGGTAGCTTTTTTTCTAGGAGTACTTCTTGACATATGGAGCAGACATCATCTGAACAAATTTCCTTCTGTTTGATGTATCCATCTTTTTCAACAAAAGGTCTCTGAGTTGGTCGTGGAGTCTGGACTCGATGTAATCCCTGTAGCAATTCACTGATTTCTCGTTCCACAAGACCCAACTGAAAAGCATCTGAGGAAAACACACTCAAAATTAAGATTCATTGATAACCACTTTAAATTATAGAATTACTAAAATATTTTACATAAAAACTGAAATTTTCTTTTGAACATTAGAAAAATTACATTGGGTAAAGGATACACAGCTAATTCTGACTGATTTTTGGAATGTCTATTTCCTACAAAAACAGAAAATCTGGTTATTTATGGATAAAAGGGAGGTTAACTCTTCTTTATCACCACTAAAAAAAGAGTATGGGGGAAGGATTAGGATTTGGTGTTAGTTACAAAATAGAGTGTCATTAAACTTTGAAGGCTCTATTTGTTGTCTGAAAACTTTTTCATTGGACATTGCCCTAGTAATAGCAGCAGAAGAGAAAATATATAAATATGCAAATAGTAGAAATAATAGAAGAATTGGAGCAAGAATTGATAGAACAGATATAAGGCCATAAGAATGGGAGGAAAAGAAATTTAAAGTATCAAAGAAGTAATAGCAGAGGACTGCCATTGATTTTTTTAAGCATACATTTGGAAGGGGAAATAAATGTGAAAAAGAATTGCAAAATGAAGTTAAACAAAACAAAAAACCCCAAACAATATATAGAATGGCATGTCTGGAGTGAATCATTAGAAACTTGTATAAAACTGTTAATACAGTTTCTGTTACTCATCTTTCTGTGTATCAGTTATGTATGACTCTTCAAAGGGCAGACTTCCCCACTAATAAAGACCTTTAATAAAAAGCACTATGGAATAAATCAATTGAACTTTAAAGATAACACATACATATAATGTATACCTCTGGAAGAAAGGTATTTTTAGGTACGTCAAATATAGAACTGTCATTACCTTTACAGAAGATAAAAGAGCCTAACAAATGAGAGAAGGAAGAAACGTCAAATTCCATTTACCAATGAAGAAAAACTGGTAGAAAGTGAGTGTTGCACTGAAAAAATATTAGAAAATGGAAAAGGAGTTATCTATATAAAGAATCTGGTGAAGAAATTCCAAAATGGAGGCTACAGGTCGAGCTACAGAAAAAAAAAAAGAAAACCAAGCATGTTCTATATATGATATGATAGAAAACAAACTGGCCTAGGAGACAGAAGACCTAAATTCTGATCTGGCTTGGCCAACACTAATTAGTTGTGTTACATTAGGCAAGTAACTCAAGAAATCAATCAATAAATCAATCAAGCTTCCTATGTGCTCAACAGATGTGTTTCTTATATGCTAAAAATAATTCCTGTCCTCAGGTAGCCTACATTCTAGTCAGGGAGACAGGTATATAAATAAGTATACATATTAAACACATGCAGCATATGTAGAAGGTTACCTTAGAGAAGCTTTGGATTTTATGGGGGTATGGCCAGGCAATGATGGCAGAATTTATTGACTAAGGGGGTAACATACTCAGATCTATGCTTTTTAGGAAAATCACTATGGAATCTGGATTGGACTGTAGAAACAACTCAGGAAGTACAATTAAAAGGCTACTGAAGTAGTCCCAGGCAAGTAGCGATGACAGTGAAAGGGATAAAGATTCAGCAAAGGAGATGAGAAAAAGCTGTCAGGCAAGTAGGATGAGAACTAAGAGAGAACAGTCATAAAAATCCAGAGAGGAGAGAGTATCCAGAAAAAAAAAAGGTGATCAATACTGTTAAATGCTGTAAAGGGTCAAGAAAGAGGCCATTTGGCAATTCAGAGATCCCTACTAATTTTAGAGAGAGCAATTTCAGAAGAAGAAGGTTGAATCCAGGTTGCAAAGGGTATGGAAGAGAAGGAGAAAGGTTTTGCTTAAGTTTGTTGTTGATGGGATTGTAGAAGAGCATACTACATGGGAGAAGAATTATAGGGGGCACTTCAGTGTAAAAATCAAAACAAATTACTTAAACCCTGTTCCCCCCCAAAAAAAGAGTAAAAAAAGGTAAAGACACTGAATATAGATTTTTCCCCCTATGAATTTAGCTAAAAAGGAAAGGAAAGATAAAGTATAAGTTAGTAGGAGTGAAACAAATTTTTTTTTCCTAAGGATGGGGTAGACAAGCATATTTTTAGGCAATGGGAAAGAAATCTATAAATAGAACAGATTGAAGATTATAGACTGAGAATGATAATGGGGACAACTGACCAGAAATGACAGGAAAGGACGAGATCAAAGGTATATATAGAAGAATTGGTCTTACTGAGAAGGGCAACCTCAGTTTCTTTTTTGCTTTTTGATACAGATTTTTCTAATCTAGAAGGATGAGTTCCTAGTATCTGCACTTTTGGTCAGTTCACCCTAAAATCTGTTCCATCTCAATTTTTCCCTTTCTTTCTGAATGTCTTATTAATTTTTTTTTTACCACTTCAGCTGTTATCTGCCATTAAGTTACTGGAATTTTATTCTCTGCACAGTATTTCCAAATGTAATAGAATGTAAGCTTCTTGACAGCTAAGACTTCTATTTTTGTCTTTGCATTCCCTAGCTCACAGCAGAGTGGCTAGCCCATAGCAGGTACTTAATAAATGATTGTTGACTGACTGATAGGATTTTGTAATACATTATTAATCTCTGTCTTTCTGAGGGAAGTCTCAATTATCTCTCCTTGAATGTTTAAAATTCTTATTTAGTACAGAAAAGTTCTAGATGCATAGTAAGATCAGCCTTCAAATCATACTCATTTGGAGGGTAGAAGGGTGGGAATATGGGCATTTTGTCACAAAGACCAAGTCTGCCTTGTCTCTGAATGAGCTACTGAGAAAATCTTTGGGTTTCATCTAGCAAAAATGATGGGGAAGAAGCAGGTTAACTACGGAAATTAAAAATGCTCCTGAGGACTCATTAAAAGGAAAGAGAAAAATAAAAAATCTTGAGAAAAAAGACTCAGCGATTTCTGCTTCTGGGAGCCAAGATGGCGGAGTGAAAAGGTAGTTGCTCTCACTCTCCCCTATCAACCTCTGAAAACCTAGAAATATCACACCAGAAAAAAAACCCTGGAACAGCTGAACTGGAAGAAAAATGGGGAGCAGTACAGCAGCCCAGCAAATGGGTCTCCCAGTGCCTCAACAAAAATAGGGGAAGCAGCACTGCAGGGGGCCCCAGGCGGATAAACACCCTGCAACATTCATCTGAAAGGAGCAGAAGAAAGCAACCTAAAGTCTTCCTAAAGTCCCAGCCTTGCTGATTCCGGCCTAACACGAGGTAAGCTGCCAGAAACCTACAACCTCCAATTGCCAACATAAAAGGCCCCAGCACACAAAGCCAGTGACCAAGACCTAGGCTCCCAACACAAGAAGCTTGGGTCAGTGCCCTCTGTTCCACAGCAGGAGAGCTCAAACTCTTTAAATGCCAGGGAATAAAGAAATACCATGAGTAAAAAGAAATGTACCATAGATTCATATTATGAGAAGAGTGAAGATCAAGACAGAAATTCTGAAGAGGACACTGTCAACAAACCCACATCTGCAACAACAAAAGGGAATATGAACTGGTCTGAAGCCCAAAAAGCCTTCTTAGAAGAGCTCAAGAAGGATTTTAATAGTCAAATGAGAGAGGTAGAAGAGTCCTTCAAAAATACAATTGGCCAATTGGAAAAAAAATACACTGAAGAAAACAAGTCCCTAAAAACACAATTGGCCAGTTGAAGAAGGAAGTACAAAAACTAACAGAAGAAAACAATCTGTTAAAAACTAGAATTGGACAAATGGAAACTAATGTCTCTATGAGAGACCAAGAATCAGTCAAACAGAAACAAAAAAATGAAAAAACAGATGAAAACATAAAATACCTCATTGGTAAAACAACCGACCTAGAAAATCGATTCAGGAGAGACAATTTAAAAATTATTGGACTACCTGAAAATCATGATGAAAAAAAGAGCCTGGAGAGTATCTTTCAGGAAATCATAAAAGAAAACTGCCCAGAAGTCCTAGAACCAGAAGGTAAACTAATCATAGAAAGAATCCACCGATCACCACCTGAAAGAGATCCCAAATTGACAACGCCAAGGAATATAATAGCAAAATTCCAAAATTACCAGATGAAAGAGAAGGTGCTGCAAGCAGCCAGAAAGAAACAATTTAAATATCATGGAACCACAGTCAGGATTACACAGGACCTTGCAGCTTCTACATTAAAAGACCGCAGGGCGTGGAACATGATATTCCATAAGGCAAAGGAGCTTGGAATGCAGCCAAGGGATCAATTACCCAGCAAAAATGAGCATCATTTTTCAAGGGAGAAGATAGATATTCAATGAAATAGGGGACTTCCAAACTTTCCTGATAAAAAGACCACAGTTCAACAAAAAATTTGATCTTCAACTACAGGACTCAAGAAGGACATAAAAAGGTAAATGGGACAGAAAGACACAATATGTTGTTAATAAGGGTGGGGCTGTTTACACCCCTACAAGGGAATATGATACTTACAACTCTTGAGAACTGTACTGTTAAAGGAGTATACATAAAAAGGGTGGATATTAGTTGACTTTGATGTAATGATAAAAAAAATCTAATGAAGTGGGTTAAATGGATCCAAATAAGTGGATCAATCTGATCTTAGAAAATGTACTGAGAAAGGAGGAGGCAGACAAGGGTAAATTACATTATAGGAAAAGACACAAAATTCTGTTACAGCAGAGGGAAAGAAGGGAGGGGGGTGAGCATTGTTTGAACCTTACTGTCATCAGATTTGGCTCAAGAAGGGCATGACACAATCAGTTAGGTATAGAAATCTAACTTGCCCTATAGGCAGTAGGAGGGAAAAGGGGAAAGAAAAGGGAGGCGGGAAAAAAGAGAGGGGGGGAAAGAAGGGAGGGGAAAAAGCAGTAAGAGTAAAGGGGAAGAAAAGGGAAAGGGATAATAAAAGGGAGAAGGGACTGAAGGAGGCGGTGGTCAAAAGCAAAACACTAGTGAAGTGGGGAAAGGAAAAAGGAGAAAGAAAAGCATAAATGGGGGAAAAAAGGATGGAGAAAAAGACACAGTAATTGTAACTGTGAATGTGAATGGGATGAACTCTCCCAT